AAACCACCGTACTGCCATGACGCTAGTTCTCTGACCCTTTCTGAAGCCTTCTGTGCCCTTGCAGGGGACTTCTGATATGTGATGGCCTCCTTCATCCCCTCTCTTCCACAAGCCTAGCCAAAAGAGGAGCCATTGAAGCTCTTAATGTTATACACGTATGTGTGTATATCTCCGTTTGTGTAATAAGTAAAGGATGGTAACTAAGATCACATATTTGTGTTTCTTTATGTTTGCATAAAGGAATACAGGGAGAATACATAAATCAATACAAGCAGTAAGAAGGAGTGTGGGGGGGACACTAGGAGAGCAGATTCAAGTGAGAGTGAGAATTTTTTTTTTTGCAGTTTTTGGCTGGGGCTGGGTTTGAACCCGCCACCTCCAGCATATGAGGCCGGCGCCCTACTCCTTGAGTCATAGGTGCCGCCCAAGAGTGAGAATTCTTAATCTATACTTTATTGTTTTGATTTGTGAGCTATGCAAACATATTATATATTACAAAAAGTAAAATTCAATTTTAAAAGCAAAACTCAAACCAAGAGCTCAAAGACTCTGCCATACCCTCCAGACCCTTGCGCCCAGGAGTCTACCTCACCAGTGGCTGCCTTGTGTCCTCTCCCTCCCAGCATCTCCCCAGAGCAGGGCAGGGATACCTCTCGGTCAGTGTTTGGGGACCGCAAACAGGCCATGCAGGCATCCATGGCCTCATGCCAGGGGAGCAGCAGAGCCTCAGGGAAGTCCACCAACTTCATCAGGATTCTGGGGGATAGAGGCAAGAGGGCAGACAGATGTGCAATCAGCCTCAGAGACTCCCTTTTGCCCCACCTGCTTCTCACACCCCCTTACCTCAGAACAGCCAGGTGCAGGGCCCGATTGGTCTCTGAAGTGTCCAGGCTCTGCATCAGGGCAAGGAAGGGCTGGGGCTGCCGCAGCAGTTGCAGCAGGAATGGCCTGACCTTGCTCTCCTGGATTCCCTCTGAGCTGAGGGCTTGCTCCAGATCCAGGAGGATTTTCCCAGCTGGACCATAATCCTCCACCAGACGCTGCAGGGGAGTACTGGGGCTCTGAGAGGGGGTTTCTTTCACTACAGGAGTGGGGAGTCACAAGAGTTGGCCATTATTAGTAATGTGAAGGTTTAGAAAAGGATAGACAGATTTCATAACTCTCAATTTTTTCTAATTTCTCCTAAAAATGTTTCTAATTTCTTTTGTTCCCCTAAAAGTTAGGTATAGAAATCTAACATCTCCGAATGTACTTCAACTTTATGACACATTTTATACCTTATATTCATAAAATAACAAATTAGCTTTCTGTTTGTAAAGAGCAGAGCATTTTCCTACATTTAAAGGCATGTAAGAATTTCTCTATAATAGAAAAGTTAAATGTGGGGCTTTTTTAAGGCTTCAAAACTCTCTTGCAGGGCGATGCCTGTGGCTCAGTGGATAGGCCGCTGGCCCCATATACTGAGGGTGGCAGGTTCAAACCCAGCCCCAGCCAAACTGCAACAAAAAAATAGCTGGGCGTTATGGTGGGCGCCTGTAGTCCCAGCTACTTAGGAGGCTGAGGCAAGAGAATCGCCTAAGCCCAGGAATTGGAGGTTGCTGTGAGCAATGTGACACCATGGCACTCTACCAAGGGCAATAAAGTAAGACTCTGTCTCTACAAAAAAAACCCAACAACTCTCTTGCAGTTTTCTTACTTTACATCCTCTTTCATTCTTGAAGGGAACACAATGTCTGCTTCTCCACTGATTGCTTATCTCTAAGTTGTAGATTTTTCCTAGGGTGCCATCTCTTCCAGATAGGACTGCACAAAATCAGCAGACATCTCTCCTGTGCTAATAATGCCTTAAAGGTAAGTGTGCTCAGCAGCTGTGCCTGTCTGGCCACCCACCTTCTACTCTGGCTGGATCTTCTGATTTCTGAGCCTGGGCCTGGGGTTCTAAGAGGAGGACATCCTGCTGGGCTTCTAGAAGGGTTGGGTGGGCCTCAGGCCCATACTTCCTGTAGACACGGCAATTGATCAGATCCCTGAGGGCGCTGTCATCAAGTCGCTGTGGTAGGGTCAACAGAAGGTCCTGGGCCATCTCTATGGGCACGGCCAATTCAGCTAGGATCTCATCATCCAGAATGTGCTGTCAGGGAGAAACTCTCACTGTAGGCAGCCCTGCCAGCACCGAGGCTCCAAGGGGCCCTAGGTAGGATAGAGCTCTCTCCACACATACATCCTCTATCCTGATCCTCTTGTGGCTAACAGCTGGCTCCTCCCAAACAGTTCAGCAACATCTCCCACCTCTGAACATTCCAGACCTCTCCCATCCCCAGATAGCCCCCTACGTTATCTGACCTCCACTTTTCATATTGAGCCTTCTAATGCTCTACAGTATAGCCCTTGCAGTGGAGCCCTCCAACCTCTGAGTGTCTTCATGCTGGCTCTACCTCCCCATCAAGGTTCTCCTGTAGGATCTGGAGAACTTCCTGATGGTCAGGTCCATCCAGCTTCTTGATGAAATAAAGCAGCTCCCACCATTCGGCCTGGGTCAGGTGTTCACTCTCCTCAGTGTCCTCATCCTCAGGCGGTACGTAAGGTACAGCATAGAGCTCTGTCATCGGCTTCCAGCGCCAGGAGGGCAGGACTGTGGAAATGGGCCATGGAACACAGGGATGTCACTACCCACCCAGCCAACCACTGCTCTCTTGCTCAGAGCTGACCCCTACTTCCTTTCTGTACTTACCTCCACCCAAGGCTCTACTGCCCACTGCCCCCTGGTACTCATCAGCTGCAACCATGTCCTCAACAATGTCTTCCTCAAAACCCAAAATCTCCAGCATGTGCCAGTGTACCCAATAGGTGCGGCCTGTTGACTCCCACAACACCTGGAGACAGGGAACAAAAGTGAGGAAAGGAGAAGAGAGGGCTCACTAGGAGAAGAAAGGGACTACAGGTTGTGGTCCAGAACAAGGTCTTAGCTCTCAGGGTGACCACCAAATAGCAAAACACTGGTAAATGAAGAACACACACACAAAGGATTTCTTCTGTTCTGGGGACAAACCTGCCTCTCCTCTCAATGGCTTTTGCTCCGACACTTCCTCCTGGCTTCAATTACCCATTTCCTAACACTGATCACTGGAGGAGTCTTGCTATGTTAGATTCTTCCTGGGTGTGAGTCTTCTTGACCTCACAGCCTCTTAAACCTAGATATTCTCAGCCTTCCAAATGGCCCCTCTCTTACCTGCTGATACCATTTCACCACCCTAGTCTTACTGAGGGTTTTCTCCTTAGCTGGGCTGCTAAAGCTCCCTGTTTGGAGCTGGAGATCTATTTTGGAGATAGGCTCCAGCCCACCCATGTCCCACCCAAAATAGATCCCCAACAGCATCCCTCCACCGTGCAGCACTCACCTGCACAGGGGGCACACCACTGTTGCTCTGACGGAACTCCCCTTCATCTCCAGCACTGATCTCCTCGTAATCATCCAACATCCGCACTCTCATCCCTGGCTGCAGTGTGTCACGCACATACATGGCATAGGTATTGCCACTTGCAAACTCAGAGCGGGGGCGAAACCGCCTTGACCTCCTAACACTGGGCTGGGCCTGGGCGGGTTGAAGCCCTGAGCTCACATCAGCCAGCTGAGGCCGGAAGATGGAACAGGGGGGCCGTGCTGAGCTCCCTGGTCTGCTTGAGGCCGGGTCCCAGCGCATGGTCTGCACTAGCTCTGAGATCAGGGTGCCCATAGCCATACTGAACTCTAGCTCCAGCCGACTCCTCTCCCCACTCAATTCTTCAGGAGCAGAGTTGTTCTGGGCTCCTAGTTTTGCAGCACTGTCGTTCAGCTGATCCAGGAGGGAAGTGACATGCAAATAGTGCTTCACCAGGGAGAAGAGCAGCCTTCCTGGGACCTGTGAGATACAACTTTTGACTTACATTCACCTTGTCCCATCTTTGGCCCCTCTTTCCACACTGTTTTCTATAAACAGGTGCAAAGACCTAGTCCTTTTTTTTTTGAGACAGAATCTCACTTTGTTGCCCTTGGCATCATAGCTCACAGCAACCTCAAACTCTTGGGCTCAAGTAATTCTCTTGCCTCAACCTCCCAAGTAGCTGGGACTACAGGCACCCGCCACAACTCCCAGCTATTTCTTTTTAGAGATGGGGTCCTGCTGTTACTCAGGATGGTCTTGAACTCCTGAGCTCAAACAATCCACCCACCTCAGCCTCCCAGAGTAGTAGGATTACAGGCGTGAGCCACCCTGCCCAGCCTCTAAAGACCACATCTTTAAATCTTGTTCATAACTGTCCCCATCTTGCACCCCCACAGGATACCTGTGGCAGCTGAATGCCCTCAAAAGACATGGGATGTTCAGAAAGTGTGGCTTGTGCAAACAGTGCTAGCAGAGCACAGCGGCTGTCAAAATCCAGGTGTTTCTCAATGGCCTCTTGTTGGCTCAGTGACAGAAGGATCTGGGTCCGGGTCCCTGTAACCCACACCCCAATCAGTAATTACTCCTAACTTCCCCATTCCTAGGTTTCTCTCCTAGTACCTCTACTCTCTCAATACAATCAGTCCTTTTGCTGCTACATAGTGGGAGTGACTGATTTGCTGATTTGTTTCAAAAGACAAAATTTACTATTCATACACACACACACACACAATCTGTAATAGGCTAAACTTCTCCTTTGCAGAGAAAGCCAACTAATTAATACATGGTGCTTAAGGATTCAGTCTTTCCTCTTCCAGCAGATACCCACCTCCTCACGTCAAACCCCATTCCCACCTCCTTTCATCCAACCCGATGAGAAGGACAACAGAATCAATTACGTACTGATAAGGTCAGAGGCTTCTGCCACAGTGTTCTGTGAGTCCCTGAGCTGACCCAGCCCCTCTCCTGCTTTCCCTTCTTCCCCGCACGGCCCCTCACCAGCATCATGGGAGGACAGGGCTTGTATCATCCGGCCAGCACTCCAGCGAATCTGATAATCGGGACTACTCAACATGTGCATGAGCAAGTCCAGGACTCTCGGGTCTTTGAATACCCCAGTGAGGGGTTCAATGCTAGCATAAGCACTGAGCACATGGACAGTATGAAGCAGAGGGGCAGGAGGAATGGAGCCCACACACTCCTCTAACTGCCGAAGGGCTCTCTGTATCAGGGACTTCACGTCAGTTTCCATTTCCCCCAGCACAGATTTGTCTAGGGCCCCAGCCTCCCCTGTAGACTCCTGGGAGGGCCCGATGACCTGGCCATCTTCGCCCAGCATCTTGTGGCAGTTGGCATAGATCTCGTCATTGGACATCCATAGCAAGATGTGCTCAGCCTTGCAGTCCACTTGGCTGGATCCCCCTTCCCCATCATCCCCACGCCTGAGGATGAGCCAACGGATCTGGTATTCTGGATGCCCATTGTGGCCCACCCGTTGGCGGATCAGCTCATCAGGATAGGCATGCAAACCAGGTCCCAGGGGCACCCTGAATTCCCTGTAGCGGAGTTCCCCCACCATCCTGGCACCTGGAACACACAGGAAAAGAACAGCTAGAGTGAGAGGAGAGGTCAGAAAATCAAGGACATCCAGCAGTTGGAGAAGCAACAACAGCTGTTGGGCTGGGTGGGATAAAGCAGGGCCCAGGAATTGCCTGCTACATGCTGGGTGGCGCCAGGCCTAAGCAGAACACTGGGGTATTTGTTCTCAGAGTGTACAAAATTTGGGGGCTAAAGGAAGGTCTCCAAGGCTCTGCAGCCTGAGTAGATTAGTCTGAACAGTGGGAGGGGGACAGTGAGGGCAGGCAGTTACAAGTGAATCCCAAGGCCTTGGCTCTGGGGCAGCAGCCCTGGGAACAGGGTGTGTGAAGCCCAAATGTGAGGGTTTTGGGAGGGAGATCCCTAATATGTGGGGAAAGGGATGTTATCTCTAAGATCGCAGCACCGGAGTGTGAATAGCAGAGGCAAAACCCAAAGTACCGGTGGGAGATTGCAAGCCCCGGCAGCGATGGGCTGAGTAAAGGCTGGGCTGGGAGGAAAGGGCTGGTGGGGTGCTGCAAGGCCAGAGGCTTGGGGAAAGCAAACCGAGACCCAAGAAGCTGGGGTGGGGAATGGAAGGGTTAGGGTTGGGGGGCGTGCAGTACGGTGGGGGAGGGGGGCTAGGCCCAATAAACTAGAATGCCGAAGCACCACCGGACAGGGGGACAAGAGATCGGGTGAGCTCCGGACAAGGTGGGTGAGTAGGCGGACGAGAATTCAGGGTAAGGGTAAGGGGGCCGCGGCGGGGCTCTGGCCACCTCAGAAGTCCACCGGGTTCCTGGCGTGAGGCCCGTCCTTCGCAGAGCTAGCACAGAAGCTGGCGTCGACGCAGGTGAAGATTTGGGCCCCGCCTGGACCCCCCAGGGGTGGAGGCGGAGAGGAGGGAGGGGGTGTGCCTCCGCAGGACAGGCGGGCCGGCAGGCAGGGGGTGTGGCGCGTGGCGCGTGGGGACCCAGGACTCGGGGCGGGCCAGTGTCACCACCGGTGCGTGGGTCGAAGGCCTCTGGGGCAGGGCGGAGCCTGATCCCTGCCAACTGTACCGCAAGCCCAGTTCTGGGGGCTTTGCCGCCCGCCCATAGCTACGCCTCATTTCCGCCGGACCCAGCGGAAAGCCAGGGGCCCTGCGAGCGCCGGGGCGGAGCTGCGGGTGCCACCGCGGCGGGGACGTGAGGCGCCTCCTCTGCACCGCCCTTTCCTCTTCCTTTTTATCCTCCCACCTAACGCCGGAAGTGCCTTTCTAGTTTCTCAAAGTCTAAACCAGAATGGTCCTGGAGGTCATACTCCCTCCTCCATTACATCCAAAGCAGCTGAGGGTTGGGCTCCATCCATCTTTTCTTTCCTCTTCCTCCCATACTTTTGTCCTTTTTTCCCCACACCCACCCTTATCCCCCTTTAAAAAAAAAAAAAAACAGATAAAAATGGGGAACCATTTTATTAGAGTTCAGGAATATCAGCTTTATGCAGCAGCAGAGGGCAACTTCACATAACTCTTCATAGGGGGCAGTGGCCGAATCTTTCGGCCAGCCCAGCCCCCCTTGCGATGCCATAGGCCACTGTTAGGCCTCTTGCCCAGCCAGCGGTTGCGTCCTGCCTTTCCAATGACCCGTTTATCATGATCAACGTTGGATACTCGGCCAACTGTTGCTATGCATGTTTCCAGCACCTGACAGAGAAAGCAGATAGAGGAGAATGCACAATTGGGGGTTGGGGAGAGCCTGACAGGGTTGAGGGAACAGCTCTTGGGAGGCTTCTTACATTCAATGAGAAGGGAGAGGAGAGGAGAAATGCACACGGTTGAACCTAAACGTGGGTCCTCCTGGCTGGGGCGCAGTGGCTCACTCCTGCAATCCTAGCACTCTGGGAAGCCCAGGCAGGTGGACTGTTAGAGCTCAGGACTTCAGGACCAGCATGAGCAAGAGTATGAACCCATCTCTACTAAAAATAGAAAAATCTAGCTGGGAATTGTAGCAGGTGCCTGTAGTTCCAGCTACTTGAGAGGCTGAGGCAAAAGGATCGCTTGAGGCCAGGCTAGGTGGCTCAAGCCTGTATCCTAGCACTCTGGGAGGCCGAGGCGGGTGGATTGCCTTCAGCTCACAGGTTAGAGACCAGCTTGAGCAAGAGCAAGACCCCGTCTCTAAAAATAGCTGGATGTTGCGGCAGTGCCTGTAGTTCCAGCTACTTGAGAAACTGAGGTAAGAGAATTGCTTGCACCCAAGATTTGGAGGTTGCGGTGAGCTATGACGTCAGAGCACTCTACTGAGGGTAACAAACTGTAACTCTATCTCAAAAAAAAAAAAAAAAATCACTTGAGCCCAGAAATTTGAGGTTCCTGTGAGCTATGACGCCATGGCACTCTACCCAGGGCAGAAGAGTGAGACTCTGTCTCAAAATAAATAAAATAAAAAATGTGGGTCCTCCAGTAGAAACTGGGTAGTTGAAAAAGAAATCATCAGCTGGGTGAGGTGACTCACACCTGAAATCCTTGCACTCTGGGAGGCCAAGATGGGTGGGATAATCTGAGCTCAGGAGTTCAGACCACCCTGAATAAGAGCGAGACTCTATCTCTACTAAAAAGTAGAAAAACTAGCCAGTGTTTTAGTGGGCACCTGTAGTCCCGGCTACTCAAGAGACTGAGGCAAGGGGATTGCTTGAACTCAAGGGTGTTGAGGGTGCTATGAGCTACCATGCCATAGCAGGGTGACAGAGTGAGACTTGGTCTCAAAAAAAAAAGTCAACTTGGCACCCGTAGCTCACCTACTGAGTATGGCGCCAGCCACGTACACTGAAGCTGGCAGGTTCAAGCCCAGCCCCGAACTGCTAAACAACAATGACAACTGCAATCAAAAAGTAGCTGGGCATTGTGGTGGGCGCCGGTAGTCCCAGCTACTTGGTAGATTGAGGCAAGAGAATCGCTTAAGCCCAAGAGTTTGAGGTTGCTGTGAGCTGTGATGCCACAGCACTTTACCAAGGGCCACAAAATGAGATTCTGTCTCAAAAAGTCATTGCTCTTTGTTCCATTATGGTGTCAACCGGACACAAGGCAGAAAAGAACAGACCCAACTCAAGGTAGTTCCTAGCTTCATAAAACAGCTGGGAGCTATCACAGGCATGCAAAGTACATTCTAAAAATTCCTCCTTTGCTAATCCTTCCCAGCAGTACCCCACACACACCTGCATCTGCCTCTTAGAAGGCAACTGGATGATGGCTGTCCCATTTACCTTCCGAAGCAGCACACCACACGTCCCTGGGGGGGAAAAGTAGTTTTGCCACCCTTCTCGAAGAAGGTGGCAGCATTAGGGGTGGAGGGACAGAGGAGAAATTTATATCAGGGCTGTTTCCCACATACTGCCTTTTAGGAGCAGATAGAACAAAGAAGGATGGTTTTAGATCAAAATACAAGCACATCTTCATTCTCATGTTCCTTGGTTTTTCTTTTTTTTTTTCTGTGCCAGCACCAGATGTAGACCCATAGGTTCAGGGAAATGCTGACTTCAGGCTCTTCTTGGCCTTCCAAATTGTAAGACCCAGGCAGCTCCTTTTCTCATTCATACCTGCAGCTCGGATATACTGGGCCCCCCGGCCTGGCTCACTTTCCACGTTGTTGACGAGGGTTCCCACAGGCAGGGCCCCAAGAGGATGTGCATCCCCTTCCTGGGCAGCAACTATAAAACAGAATTTCATCAACACTAGAACATTTGCAGCCTCCAGCCTGGACATCTGGTAGCCACCTCTCACCTGCCATTCGGCCTATGTGGTTAGAATTCAGGATTACATCTCCAGCCTGCATGTTTTCTGTGGCAACAATCCAGCGTTTCCGGCTGCCCCCAGCAACCAGAGCTATGTCTGCTGACCTATTCCAGATAAGGGACAGGTGAACAGACCACCTAGGCAGTCCCACATTTTCTGAGAAGCTACACAACAGTTATTTAGACCTCCTCATTATCATCCCAAATCCCAAACTTGCCTGCAGGGATCATAGCGGACTGTGATAACCCTCTCCTCAAAAGGTTCAGGCTTGGTCTCCTGTTCAGGCCGGAAACGCAGAAAGTCAATCATGCGATAAAGTTGCTTGTGGCCCCCACCAATACCATGCACTCGGATGCGGCCTGTGGTCAGGATAGTTCAAAGATAGGTCAGACTAGTTCAGCTCAAAGCATCCAGAACTGGCCCACCCTCAGCCAGAGAGCAGAGTTTCTCAGCATCATGGCACAAGCACAAAGTGATAAAAATTTGCACAGTGCACTGAAGCAAGGGGCAGTGGGGCAACACCTACCCAAAATTTGGTGAATGATATAAAGCTTCCAGATAGTCTTTTCAAATCATGGAGTTCAATAAGTTTACTGAGAGCCATATAACTCATACTCAAAGAATTTCAACTGTCACATAAAATATATGTATTTTTTAAAGGACATAAGGTCTTACTATGTCACTCAGGCTAGACTCAAACTCCTAGGCTCAAGTGATCTTCCTGCTTCAGCCTCCCAAGTAGCTGGGATTACAGGCACATGCCACTGTATCTGTTATAATTTTTTTTTTTTTTTTGAGACAGAATCTCATTCAGTCACCCTTGATGAGTACCATGTCATCATAGCTCACAGCAACCTCAAACTCTTGGGCTCAAATGATCCTCTTGCCTCATCCTCCAGAGTATCTGGGACTACATGTGCCCATCACAAACCCAGCTATTCTTTCTATTTTCAATTCAATTTTTTTGTTTTTTAATTGCTGTTTGGCCAGGCCAGTTTCGAACCCGCCACCCTCAGTATATGGGGCCGGCGCCCTACTCACTGAGCCACAGGCGCCACCCAAAACCATTTTTTTTTTTTTGCAGTTTTGGCGAGGGCCAGGTTTGAACCCACCACACCTACACAGTATATGGGGCTGGTGCCCTACTCCTTGAGCCACAGGCGCCACCCCTAATTTTTCTATTTTTAGTAGAGATGGGAGTCTTATTCTTCCTCAGGCTGGTCTTGAACTCTTGAGTTCCAGCAATCCACTGTCTTGGCCTCCCAGGGTGCTAGGATTATACGTGTGAGCCACCAAGCCTGGCCAGTTTTCTTCAATTATTGTCTTTTTTCTTTTTCTTTCTTTTTTTTTAAGACAGGTCTCACTCTGTCACCCAGGCTGGAGTGCAGTGACACAATTATAGCTCACTGCAGCCTTGAATTCATGACTGAAGTCTCCCAAGTAGATGATTTTGGGCAAGAGTCATTGGGCCTGACTTAAAGATTGTCATTTGGGGCACAGACCTATTCTCTGTTGCTTTTTATTCTATTCTCTGGCTTTGATGCACATACCATTAAGCCCAATTAATGCTTAATTACATTCCTCTGCCTTACAAAGTGTAAGTGTGTTAATATATGGGCCTAGGGTACCAGCATGTTTTCCCCCTTTATTGCTTAAATCTCCTTGCTCGCACCTGTGTGGTCTCGGCCCCCAGACTTCCTCTTCTTCAGTGGTCTAATGGTGTACTTGGTATGACTCTTCCAGGACACAAACTTGGCCTTGAGGGCCACAGAAGTAAGAACTGTGCGATAGGGGAGCAACGTCAAGGCAGAGGGCAGTTGGAGAAAGGCATTGTTCATCACCTAGGGATAAAAAGAAATCTCTTTTACCTGAAAGCTAATTGAAGGAGAAGCATTAGAGAACCAAGGCAGAAAACACAGACCAATTTTAGCTTGCAGCCCATTTTCTCTTGGAAGTGTCCCAACCAGCTGTTCTAAAATTCTACCTATTACAGCTTGCACGGATACCAGTGTAGAATATTTATCCAGATGTATGTGTGTTGATCAGCTCTCCTCATCTGATCTCACCTCTGAAGTAGTTCATCAATAGAATGTTCTCTCCTGGTCATCTCCTTCCAAATTTGGCTGAAAACTCTCCATCTTCAGGAAACTTTTTTCTTTTCTAAACGGCTACCTTCTCCAGAGCTAGTAACTTCCACACATCCATGTACCACCATTAGCAGAAATGGCTTTGCCTTCTGCATTATGTTTCTGAGAGTTTTTCACATAGGAATGGAGGGGAGGGATCATTTCTGTCTAGTTCCTTGCTTTATTACCAGAATTTCAGAGTAGCTTGGTTTGGTTTTGAATTTTCTTTTATTTTTATTTTTTATTTTTTGAGAAAGAGTCTATGTCATTCTCAGTAGAGTGCCATGACGTCACAGCTCACAATCATCTCCAACTCTTATGCTTAAGTGATTCTCTTGCCTCAGCCTCCCAAGTAGCTGGGACTACAGACACCTGCCACAACAACTGGCTATTTTTGTTGTTGTTGCAGTTGTCATTGTTGTCTTCCTGGCCCGGGCCGGGTTTGAACCCAGCAGCCTGCGTGTATGTGGCCAGGGCCCCACCCACTGAGCTATGGGCGCCGCCCTTATTTTTATTTTTTTTGAGACAGAGTCTCACTATGTCACCCTTGGTAGAGTGCTGAGGCGTCACAGCTCACAGCAACCTCAAACTCTTGGGCTTAAGCGATTCTCTTGCCTCAGTTTCCCAAGTAGCTGGGACTACAAGTGCCCGCCACAACGCCTGGCTATTTTCTTGTTGCAGTTGTCATTGTTTAGCTGGCCGGGGCCGGGCTTGAACCCACCAGCCTCGGTGCATGTGGCTGGTGCCGTAACCACTGTGATACAGGCGCCGAGCCTAGTTTTGAATTTTAAATAAACATCTTCCAAACTCCACCATAATCAGCCAGAGAGCTGCAGAGGAGCAAAACTTATAATTTCTCTTTTCTGTTACTCACCAGTCGCCCTCAGGATACTTTCAGTAAGGTTCCTATTCTTAGTATCTTGCCCTCTGTTCTCTAATCTCAGCAATAACTCATCCTTGTAGGAATAGTATCATGATTAAGAGCACAGGCTTTGAAGCCATACTGCCTAGCTCCAATAGTTGTGTGTGATCCTGGACTGCTGATCAGTTTTCTCGTCTGCAAATAGGAAGGATTATGACTTCCTTGTAGAGTGGTTGAAAGTTTAGTTATTTGAAACGTCTACTACGTATGCCTGGCTTATCACAGGCACTCAGTTATTACCGAAACCTGTTCAACTGGTGATCTGCCAAGCACTGTCACCTGCAGTATCTCATTTAAAGAATTTCACCCTAGGCTTGGCGCCTTTGGCTCAAGTGGCTGAGGCGCCAGCCACATACACCTAAGGTGGCGGGTTCGAATCCAGCCTGGGCCCGCCAAAACAACAATGATGGCCAG